CCCCCCCCGTTGAGACAGATTGTCATGGTTGCTGGGTTAATGGAATTAGGTGTAGTGGAGTCAGTGAGACTGGCTCAGGATAGGGGAAGGTTTAGAGCCATTGTTCATAGGGTCACTATGGGTCACGGGTGACTCAATGGCTCACAACAATAGCAAGCCTGTATTGTTATTGCTCTTGTTGTCAGATGCCATCAAGTTGAGCACGACTCACAGATCTAACAAGAGATCTGAACCCTGACCTATCCTGTGCCATCTTCATTATTTCTGGCATAATCAAACCCATTACACCAGTCACTGTGTCAATCCATCTGGTTGAGGATCTTCCTCTCTCTTGCTAGCTCTACACCTTTCCAAAGATGATGTCCCTCTCCAATGAATGTCCTCTCCTAACAACATGGCCGAAGTATGAGACAAAACTTGATCATCCTTGTCTCCAAGGAGCATTCTCACCATACATTCTCCAAGATGTATGCTTGTTCTTTGGCGAGCCACAGGATAGCCTGTACTCTTCTCCAGCACCACAACTCAAAGGCATCTATTATTTTTGTTTCTGTTTTTGTGGGTTTTTTTTTCCTTGTTATGTACCATCAAAATGAACCCGACTTGCACAGGAGAAGATTGCCCCTGCTTCTCCAGCAGAGCATCTGGTGGATTTCAAACTATGCGGCTTCAGGATTGCAGCACAGCTTCTTGCCACTAGGCCACCAGAGCTTCCTTAAGGCATCAATTCTTATCTACAATCCTTATTCATTGGCCAGCTCTCAGCATCATAGGAAGTGACTGAAAAGACCATGGCGTAGGAGCTCTGGTGGCCTAGTGGCAAGAAGCTGTGCTGCAATCCCGAAGGCGTACAGTTCAAATCCACCAGGTGCTCCACTGGAGAAAGAGGGGTAATCTCCTCCTGTGCCAGTTGGATCTGATTTGGTGGTACACAAAAAGAAAAAAAAAATACAAAGAAGAGAAAGGAAAAAAGGACCATGGCCTGAATCAGGTGCACCTTATTCTTTAAACTGACATCATTGTTCCTCAGTACTTTGGAGATCCAATGCAACACGACTTTTGATTTCTTGACTGCTGGTACCACTGGTATTGCTTATGGATTTAAGTAAGACGAAATTGTTGACAATATCAAACTTTTCTTCATCTATCATAATGGCGCTTTTCTCAGAGAAGCTAAATCATGTACTTAAAGTCACAGAGAGCAGTGGTGGCAGGGCCAGGACTTAAAACCAGGCCTAACCAGTTTCTTCTTTCCTGGAAAGTGCTGGCTTGTCCTGATGTAAACTTTCCTTCCCCTTCCCCTGTTATCAGCTGGCCATTCAATACCACCTGTGCAACTGCATGTTGAGGGAGACCTTGGGTCCTTCCGTTGATGACTGTCATTCGTCCACCTGCAACCAATGAGGGCCATTGGCCTTGGACCATGGGAGACTTGGTGTTCCACCACCTGTTCCAGAAAGTACTCCCCACCAGCCTTCTACACTATATTAGAAGCACAAGCTCTGTGTCCTTTTCTCATCATCTTGAAACTCATCATGCTTCGGCTGCTAAGTTCCCTCCTGTTTGTAGCCCTTGGTAAGACTGTAGCATTTTGTCTGTGTTTCTTGTTCTGTGCTGGGCTGAGAGCTCTTGAAATCTACCACCCACCCTGGGTCTCACCGCACCAAACAGCTGGTGGCATAGGAGAGGTTTCAGCTTTTACTTGGTGTTGGATTGTGGGAGTTCACAGCCTGGCATGGGAATAGAAGAAAAGAAGGGAAGCTCAGGGGAACGTGAGAACTTCAAAGGGCTTTGGTGGGAGTCTTCAATGGGTGCAGGAAACAGTCTGAGGGCTACAAGCTTGGGCTCGGTGGTTAAAACCTTGGGTTCGAATTTCTCCTCATATGCTAACACCTAACTCCTCTCTCACAGTTCCCACCCTACTCCATACCCAAGGGTCTAGCCTGCTCCTGGACCTTCTGCCATATTATATTACTCTCAGTGTCACCTCCTTCAAGCAGCCTTACTTGACTGATGGTGAATAACAGACGATATTTATTGAGTGCTTAAAAGGCAAAGCACTCAAAGTTTTTCTTATATGTTTCTCAATGGAGCTCTGGTGACCTAGTCTGTAGGAAGCTGTACTTCTAACCCAACGTCTGGATCTGTCTGATGGTTCGAATCCACCAGTAGCTCCTTGAGAAAAAGAGTGGGCACTCTCCTCCTATATAGTATACAGCTTGGGAAACTCAATGAAGAATCTGCAAGGAGTCGTTTCTGTCTCAACCACTGGCAATGAAAGAATGAGAGAGTGAGAGATAATTTACTATCTCATATAATTCCATAATAGCTCCCATGAGGTCAGTACTATTATTGTCCCTGTTTCACAGATGTGAAAAATGAAACTGAGTCTCAGAGAGGTAAAGTAACTAATTCTAGAAGAAGGGACTGTCTTAGTTCTCTTTTTTTTTTTTTTTAAACTTTTGTGTGCGTGTACCATCAAATCAGATCTGACTGGTACAGGAGATTGTCCCTCCTTCCCCGGCAGAGCATCTGGTGGATTTGAACCGTGCGCCTCTGGAATTGTAGCTGCAGCTCCTTGCCATGTCTTAGTTATCTAAAGTTGCTATAATAGAAATACCACAAGTGGGTGATTCTAATAAACAGAAATTTATTTTCTCACAGTTTCGAAAGCTGGAAATCTGAATCCAAGCTTTGGAGAAAGGTTTTCTTTCTCAGTCAGCTCTGGAGGAAGGTCCTTGTCTCTATACTTGTGCTCCTGAGTGAATGTCAAGTGGCTTGACATCTCTCTTCTTTTATCTCTGATCTCCTTTAATCTCTATATTGAAAATATTGACAAACACACACTGTGCTAACCTTGCCTCACCAACAAAACAGAAAATCCAGTCCCAGATGGAATTATAGCTCCAGGTACAAAAGTTAGGATTGACAAGGATATTTTTTAGGGGGACACAATTAATCCATTAGGGGCAGAACAACACTTTGAACCCATGCAGTGTGACTCCTTACGATAATAGTTGAAGGTGCTAATATCATTGGTGTCACCCAGTGTAACATTTGTGCCATCACCTTCCACCATGGACCATCTCTGTGCCAAACCACACAGAATCCTTGGCAGTGTTCATTATCAACTTTAACCATACAATTATATGCAATAAGTATGATTATAAATGGCTTAAATGGACTATTTCTTGGATTATACAAATACTAACAAACATGTTTTATAAACCTGTCTTCAGTTACAGCATGTTAGTCACTGTTGACTTGAAGCCCTTTTTTTTTCATTTTCCTCTTCCTTTTCCTTTAATTACTACTTCATCCTCAAAAATATTATTGATAGAGGTTCACAAACACTAATTACCACAGTGTTACAGCAAAACACCCAACAATTTGACAACATCAACAACTATCTAAAAATACTAGGAGCCAGAATAACAAAGCTCAGAGGCATCCTTGTAATTAGGTTATAATGACGGCTCTGACCAGAGAGCATCAGAAGGTTCACAGAGTAAATCAACATGGAGTTTTAGCCTCGTAGGTATACGAATATGTGTAAGCTGGGCTTATAAGAGGTGGTGATAATGTTGTAGTTGTTGTTGTTATAACTATCTACAGGATATTTTAATTTAAAATATAATAAATTTCAGCTGAGTAGTCATTTTGGTGTCACCTCTCTGACATGTCACCCCCACAGTTGCTTGGTGATGTTACTAACAATACCTACAATTTTCTCAAGGGCTCATGGGGCATCAGACACTATTCTGAGTGTGTCAGCTCCTTCGATCATCCTGTCGAAGGAGGTCACCTTTTTGTCTCCATCCCTCAATCCCTGGCACTCTGAAAACTCCTTTGCAGTCTGCTTGCTGATCAGATGTGACCACTGCAGTCCCGAATGTGGAACCGGCTTGTCCATGGTCCCACAGCCAGTTAGTGGCAATGCTAGCTCTAGGAGCCAGGCCTTTCCTTTTCTGACCCCCTCACTCTCTCCTCCAGCCTCGGGCTGTGGCAAATCTGCCTATCGCCCCTCCAGCCGAGTGGTCAACGGTGAGGACGCAGTGCCCTACAGCTGGCCCTGGCAGGTAAGAGCAATGCCATCATGGGCGCTGGACCTCAAGTTCTCATTGTGATCCATCTAGTCTAAAAGTATCTCTTTTCTGTGTGAATGGCATTCCCGAGAGTTGTGCAGTGCACAACCTGAACATCCATCCCAGGTGGTTCTCACTGTATGGCCCAGACACTCAGGGTTCCCCTCTCTGGCCACCAGGTCTCCCTGCAGTATGAGAAGAATGGGGCCTTCCATCACACTTGTGGAGGCAGCCTCATCGCCCCTGACTGGGTCCTGACTGCCGGCCACTGTGTCTCGTGAGTTCAATCACCTGTCCCTTCCCTGTCTGGTGGGGCAGGGGTCACTAAGGGAGGAGGAGTGAGACCAGTCAGACTCAGGCTGACCCCGCTTCTGCCGGCAGGAGCACCCTGACTTACCAAGTAGTGTTGGGTGAGTACAACCGAGGTGTGGAGGAGGGTCCTGAGCAGGTGATCCCCATCAACGCTGGAGACCTCTTTGTGCACCCGCTCTGGAACGCCAACTGTGTGGCCTGTGGGTGAGTGATTCTCTCCAGAGACCCAGGCCCTCTGACCCTCATCCCCCAGAGATTGTGGCTGAGTCCAGCAGTCCATGCCCAGGTCCCACAAGCTGAGATCTCAAAAGGCCAGAGCCTTAAAGCCATCCACACCAAACCCTCCCTCCCTCTACAGAGGGCATAACAGGGTTCAGAGAACAAGAACTTGGCTTTCCCTCGCTTCCCCTTGTCAAATCCAAGAGTTCCTCTACTCATCAGAATTCCTCCTGGGTTCTCCAAACCATGGGCAAAGGGGGAGCACTGGGTTGAGGGCCACGCTCTGCCACTACCTCGTTTCTGGCCTGGCCAAGTAACTGCCCCCTGGACCTCAGTTTTAACATCTATCAAAGGGTGATAATAAAGGTCAAAGACACAATCGCTGAGTGAGAACACTAAAGCTGGCCTGTGCAAGCCCCTCAGCTGTATACAAAACTATGCCTGTGGGGCTCAGTGTTTTTCTAGGGAGGGGGCTGGAGAAGGCTGTGGGGCCCCAAAGTGCAACACAAGAGTGAAAGGTTTTAAGGACTGAGACCTGCCCCATTATCAATGGGCTCCTGGGGTAAGTGGAGAGAAAAACAGAATCCAGATGAAATGACCTAAGCGTCAAACAGGAGGATGACGCCTTAGTACAGTGCTTCTCAGAGCATCATCCCCAGCCAGGAGCATCCGCGTTCCCGGGGAGCCTGATAGAAATACAAACTCTCTGGCCTCAGCCCAGAACCACTGGATCAGAAACTCTGGGGCGGGGCCCAGTCACCTGTACCAAAGCCCTTTAGGTTATTCTGAAGCAGGTAAAGCGTGAGAATCAAGACGCCGAGAAGGATGATGGAAGCCAAGGGTTGGGATGAGCGGACTGCCCAGGAAGGCTTCTGGGAATTGCTGAGCCTTGAAAACGGATGGGATTAATGGGAAGAGGAGTAGTGTGGGATCCCCAAAAAGTAGTGGAGTGATCTCCAGGGATGAATGTGGCTGGAGCAAAGGCTGGGTGTTAGGTTAGATCTGTCAAGAGGACCCAATGATTCTTCTCTCTTCCCCAGCAATGACATCGCCCTCATCAAGTTGTCACGCAGCGCCCAGCTGGGAGACACAGTACAGGTCGCCTGCCTCCCTCCTGCTGGAGAAATCCTGCCCAATGAGGCACCCTGCTACATCAGTGGCTGGGGCCGCCTCTACAGTATGTGCTGACCCAACCTAGCGTTCTCTACCTTCTCCTCCCATCCTTCCAAACACGTCCAGTTGGACATTTGTTAGTGTCTTCTGTGCACTGGGAGTCCCTGGGTGGTGCAAATGGTTAAGTGGGCAACTACTACAACACACCCAGGTGCACCTCGGAAGACAGGCCTTGGCACTCTGTTTCCAAGAGGTCACATCCTTGAAAACCTCATGGAGCCCTTCAACTCTGACACACAGAGGATTGCTATGTGTGGCAGAATCAACCCAATGGCAACCAATAAGAAGCTGTGTGCAAGGCCACAGTTTCCAAGTGCAGGGCATGTCACAATGGATGCAGCAGGTCCATGTAACATGCTGGGAGGAGGGTCGCCATGAGACCAGAGGGGCTGTTTGCCTTGTGACCATGCTCCAACCTTGTTCCTAGTCCCTGTTCCCCAAGTCCAGGCCAACTCTGCACCTTGATGGTCCCCACTCAGGGTTCCCTGTCCCTACAGCTGGAGGACCTCTCCCTGACAAGCTGCAGCAGGCCCTGCTGCCCGTGGTGGACCATGAGCACTGCTCCAAGTGGGACTGGTGGGGCAGCAGCGTGAAGCGGACCATGGTGTGCGCTGGCGGAGACACCCGCTCCGGCTGCAATGTGAGTCAGCTCTTCCCAGCTGGGTGGCACTGGGGTATGGCTGCTTGGTGTAGCACCTAGGGTCCTAGGGTACCTCTGCCAACTTAGGAAAATGGAGGTGATGTTTGCCTGCCTTCCTCATTCTGATTCTAGACCAGATAGGACTTAAGAGGAAGCTGGCATAGTCCAGGGACCGTGCTCCGGGCCTGAGCATCAGAAATCCTGATCCCAAGAGCTCAGTGTCCCAGCTCGACCACTAATTTAACTTGGGACAAGTCACTGTCCCTCTCTAGTCCTCGTTACAGCAAGGAGTCCTGACAGGAGGCCTCTGAAGTCACCTACAGCCCTAAGATTTTGAAGTTACAATTAAACCCTAAGGATGCTATCACTGTATTATAAGAATGAACAATAATGAGCCATGGTGGTGCGGTGGTTAAGCATTCAACCGGTAACTGGAAAGCTGGTGGGAGACAGTTGGGGTGGTCTGCTCTTGGGGGGGTAAGTAGGTCTCCTCTGCCCTATAGGGTTGCTATGAGACAGAATCTACGCAACAGCAATGGTGGTTGTATTTTTAATAAACAATAATGGTAAGAAATCATTGCAGTACTAACAGTGGCACCTACCATTATGGAGTGCTTACTGTGTACTAGGCATTGTGTTCAAATCCCACATCTATCATCTCGGTTCATTTTCACAAGATTAGACAAACATTGTGTTTGCCCTCACAAACGAGCTGAGGTTCCGTGAGGTCAAATAGTACAGAGGATTCTCAAAACCTCCCCCTAACCTGGGAACCAAGCCAGTTTCTTACACTGCAGCCTCAACTTAACCCCTTGCCCCCATCTCACCCTTTCAGGGTGACTCTGGAGGACCCCTCAACTGCCCCGCTGAGGATGGCAGCTGGCAGGTCCATGGTGTGACCAGCTTCGTGTCTGCTTTCGGCTGCAATACCCGTAAGAAGCCCACGGTCTTCACCCGAGTGTCAGCCTTCAATGACTGGATCGAAGAGGTGAGGAGATGGGCGAGCAGGAGGGCCCTGGGGTGCTGGCCTTTCCCAGAGGTGTTGGGGCCACGGGTGGGGAAGAACTGATCCTGAGGTGTGGAGAAAGGAATCTGATGGGCCAGCAGTGGAGGAGCCCTTGGGTTTCCAGCCATTTTCTGCTGCAATATGCCCCCTGGTCCCTGCTTAAGCACTCAGCTGGTAACTAGAAAGTCAATGACTCACTCAAACCCACCAGTCGATCTGAGGAGAAAAAACCTAGTGAGCTGCTCCCACAAGCCCTATAGGGAAGCTTTCTGCCCTGCTGGGTTGGTAGCTGTCAGAGCGCTTCCCCCCCCCGCCCCCCATGAGTTTGGATTCCATGGCTTCTGGGCAGAGCTTTGAACTGCTGCAGAAGGTTCTTTCAATGTGTGTGAACAAACACTCCATGCCTCCCCAGACGTGGGCCCTTGCTTGGTATGGAGTGTAGAAAGAGGAGTCAAAGTACAAGGAACAAGAATGAAGGGTGGTGGGAGTGCAGGCCTGGGGCTGGTCTGGGGCCGCTGGTCAGGGAGGGCTCATGGTTCGAAAGAGCTGTGAGAGTCCCTAAATATACACCAGGCACTGTGAGGAACAACCCCGTTAATAGTCAAACCAAGAACCCCATGAGCTGCTTTGAATATTTTCAACAACAACAAAATAAATGAGTTCTAGTCAGCAGCACAACATGCTACAGACTATGTCAACCAGAAACTCTCCCAGTTTCACCCAGCTAATGAGTGGCATGACTGGGAGTTGAACTCAGTTCCATTTGGCTCCTTCTACTTAATCCATTCCTCTTTCTCCACTTGTCTTTCAGACCATGGCAAGCCACTAGACCCAGGAACTGGCTGGCGGTACTGATTTGCACACTTCTGAAAGAATAAAGACATCTCAGAAAAATCATATCTTGTGCCTTTCTTCTTACTTGGCTCACTCCTCACAATCTGGCCCATACCTAAAATCCCAGATCTAGTATGTAGGGATAGCCTTCAACTCTATCATTTGAAGAGGAATTTGAAAAAAATTGTCTAGAGAGAGGAAGAGAATTGCTATAGGGTGACCAACCACTCTTGTCAGCCTGGGATGTGCGCAGGTTGGTCCTCAAGGACTAGAGAAGGATCAGCGGTATATTTAGGGCATGGCAGATATGACACATGTGCCAAGGAGCAGTGTCTGTTCACCAAAGCGTTTCCCACCGCCAGCTGTGAGAGAGCCCTCAGCCAGTTAAAACTAACTGCCAAGTGCCCAGCTTGCTCAGTGGGTAGCATATGAGACTTTGAAAGCTAATTGTCAAAGGTTCTATCTTCTACATATATACCACTGCCCGGGAGGCAGACTTTTCAGAGCAGGAGCTGAACAAGGCCCTGGCAAACCAAGATATGGTGGTCACCTAGCTTAGAGCCACATACAAATCAGTAGTTTTTTCAATGCATCATAGAAACATGGTAGAATCTACAGAAAAACCAGCCTGATCAATCTCTCAGGAGACTCATCTTAGGAAAATAACAGGAATTTTCTGCTTCTGGAGAGGCGAAGGAAAACGGCTGCAGACATTTAGTCATTTAGCGAACATTCCTTGATCCAGCAGAGGGTTCAGAAGGGGAAGAAGATATGGTTCTTACTCTAAAGTGCCTCATTATTTAGAGAGGAAAAGAGGCTGACTTTTTCATTAAACATATACTATGTATTTGGTTTAAAACAACGTGCTTAGAGACTGTCAACAACTTCATCTTACTTGGATTCACAATCAATACACTTGGTACTAGCAGTTAAGGGATCGGAAGACATATTGTACTGGGAAAGTCTGTAGTCAGGGGCCTCTCCAAATTATTGGGGAGCAATAATGTCGGTTTGAGGACTAAGGTGTGCCTTATTCAGGCCATGGTCGTTCCCCATCACTTGTTATGCATCTGAGAGCTGGACAATGACTAAGAATGGCAGAAAAAGAACTTATGTTTTTGAGCTGTGGAGTTGCAGAAGAGTGCCAAGTATCCCAGGGACGCCCAGGAAAGCAAATAGATTTGACTTGGAGACTGTGCAGCCAGAGTGCTCCCTGGAGGCAAAGATGATGAAGCTTCTTCTCACACACTTTGGGAATGTTGCTAGGAGACATTATTCCTTGGAATGGGACATCATGCTTGAGAAGGTGGAGGGCCAGTGAAAGAGATAAAGATCCTCAACCAGATGGATTGACATAGTAACTGCAGCAATGGCTTGTGGGTGCCGGAGATTGTGAGGATGACACAGGATAGAACAGGGTTCAGATCTGTTAATAGGGTCAGTACAAGTCATATTTGACTCAACGGCACCTAATAACAGAAGTACTTACTTTGTGGCAGGTTCACTGAATTGCATCTCTCCAAAGTAAAGGATGTATATCCTAACCCCTATGCTTGTGGTTATAAGCCTATTTGGGAAAAAGGATGATTATCATGTTTGTTAGTGTAGAGACTAAGGTGTGCCTGATACAGGCCATGGTCTTTTTAATTGCTTCTCAGGCATCTGAAAGTTGGACAATAAATAAGAATGCTGGAAGAATTACTGATGTCTTTGAATTGTGGTGTTGATGAAGAGTACTGAATATACCATGAACTGTCAAAAGAACACATAAATCTATCTTGAAGGAAGGGCAACCAGAGTGCTTTGTAGAGGCAAGGATGGTGAAACTTCATCTCACTTGCTTTCTGCATATTCTCAAAAGGAACCAAATTTTGCAGAGAGGCATCATGCTGGGAAAAGGTGGAAGGTCAGAGAAAGAGAGGAGGATCTTCAACGACATGGACTGGCACCGTGACCAGCACAGTGGGCTTGAGCAGGACAGAGACTGTAGAGACGGTGGAGGAGGGGGCGCTCGGCGTGGTGGTTGACTTGATGCATCTAACAACAACTGGTTAGGTTCATTAGACAGTATTAGCATAGGGTATGTCTTGAGTCAATCTCTTTTGAGATATAAAAGAAATTAAACAAGCAAGTGAGTAGAGATGAGTGAATAGATGGCAGGCTATGTGAAGATAACCCAGGAGCAGCAATTTAAAGGAGATAAAGATCTTTCAGAGCTGAAAGGGAAAGCTTTGGTTCAGAGCTGACACCATGAGCTCAGAGGCCTAAGTTCTGTCTCCTAAACTATGAAAAATTCTTTTTTATCATTAATGCCAACTATTGGTGATATTTCTGTCATAGCAGCATGAGGTAACTAAAACAGTGAGTACTACACTTGCCTGGTCATCAATAAGAGCCTCTCCTCGTACAGAAAGGAGCAAGCTCACAGCGAGGGAGGGAGATGTCACACATCTGATGTCGCCACCAGGTTGGAGTCCAGGAGCTCTTGCTGAGATGGAAAAAGGATCGCTGCTGGGCACCCAGTGCCACATAAAGACAAGTGAAACATTAGAGCAGAAAAACCAACTGAAACGACGTAAGTTCATGGTCCTAGACCATCATGAAGGAAATTTGTTCTCAGCAAGGGCAAATGGACTCACAAGTATATTTTGTTATAAAAACACAACATTTAACAACTATGAGATATCATCTCCCCCCAATAAGAATAGCAAAATTTAACAGAACAGCAACCATCATGCTGGTGAGGTTGTGGAGAAACTGGAACCCTTATTCACTATTGGTGGGAGTGTAAAATAGTGCAACCATTATGGAAGGCCATATGGCACTTTCTCAAAAAGTTGCAAATAGAAATACTATTTAAGCCAGCAATTCCACTTCTGGGAATTTGCCCTAAAGAAACCATAACTTCCACCCAAGCAGATATATGCACACCCATGTTTATTGCAGCTTTGTTCACAATAGCAAAGAACTGGAAACAACCCAAGTGCCCATCAACAAACGAATGGATAGAGAAGCTGTGGTATATTCACACAACGGAATACTATGCAGTATTGAAAAACAAGAAACTCACGAAATATTATTCAAAATGGGTGACCCTGGAGGACATTATGTCGAGTGAAATATCTCAGTCACAAAAAGACAAATACTGCATAGGGCCACTGTTGTGAAATGGAACAGACATTAGGGTTGAGGGAAGACAGAAAAGGAGGGGAGGAATGATGTATATTGCATTGAAACAGATGAGGAAGAGATTTGTTTAAAAGGGATTTATAAATGGGTATTCTTGTCATTATAGAAGTCCAGAATGAAGGCTGCATAGTGGAGTGAACCTGGGGGGAGGGTTTACATAACAGTTAAAGAGTTTTTCTTTTTCTTTTCAAGGAGAGGAGTGATTTTGGGGAGAGGGTGTGGGCAGGTAGAAAAGTGCAACAATAAATGACTGGAAATCCTTAAAAAAAAAACCCAACCCACAACATTTGCCAATTTAACTTTTTCACAAGTACAATTTAGTGACCACAGAAACAGTATCATGCTATACGACCATCACCAACACCCACTGCCAACTCTCCATCACTCCCTCACTGCTTCCTAACCATCCACTCCTCCTGTCCCTCTCCCTCCCACCCTGGGTCACTGCCAATGAACTTTGGTCTCTATCCATTTTTCTATTCTATGAGTGAGATGACACAATATTTGATGAACTTCACTCAGCATGTTTTCATGATAATGCATTTATCAAGATTTCATTTCTCTTTATGGCTGAGTTATATAGTCCATTGTGTGTGTGTCCATACTACTTTTTTTAAAAATTTTTTAAAATTCATTTTATTATTTTTGTATGAGTGTACCATCAAATCAGATCTGACTGGTACAGGAGGAGATTGTCCCTCCTTCTCCGGCAGAGCATCTGGTGGATTCGAACTGTGCGCCTCTGGGATTGTAGTTGCAGCTCCTTGCCACTAGACCACCAGAGCTCCCCCCTTTTTTTAAAGATTAATTTATTGTTTGATGGCCATTTGGGTTTTTCCACTTTTGGCAATAGTGAATAGTGCTGCAGTGAACACTTGGGTCTTTTAAAAACCTAAATGCATAAACATCAGAAAATTAATGAAACAGAATGTGTTTTTTGTACGTAGATACACTTTGACTCAATCACTGCTATGGAGTCTTGCTGACTTCTGCAGGCCCTCTGTTAGGTTTACAAGACTATACATTGTTATAGGAGACCACCCATTTTTCTCCCAAGGAGAAGGACTAGTAAATTCTTACTGCTGACCATGTTAGCAGCTTAGTACTTTACTCATTATCCCACCAGAGCACCTATAATTTGAATCAGGCAGCAATAATTTGGACATAAAGTGCTCAGAGAGACGCTTAGGTTATATAGGTCATTGTTATGTTAAATTCTCAGGAGATCACATTGACTGAATGATTAATGCATAGTATAGGATTTCAGGGTGTTCTGAGAATCACCAAAGAAAGGACATTTATTAAAATACGATACAGGATTTTCCAAAAGAACCTAATGCCTAAGACAAAACTATCTTTAGCTCCTCCAAGTTGTGTAATGGGCAACTATTTGCCTGGAAGCAAGTCTAGGGGATTGATTTTTTTTTTTTAAGTGCAAGTTCCCAAAGGATCCCTAAGGACAAATGGCCTGGATGGGTCACGTGAATTCCAGCACCTAGAAATGTTGATTTCAGAAGAATTAAGATGGTTTTATCTAGGGGAGCTCTGGTGGCCTAGTGGTAAAGAGCTGCAACTACAATCCCAGAGGCGCACAGTTCGAATCCACCAGATGCTCTGCCGGAGAAGGAGGGACAATCTCCTCCTGTACCAGTCAGATCTGATTTGACGGTACACTCACACAAAAATAAAAAAAAATTTAAAAAAAGATGGTTTTATCTGTGGTCACATGTCAACTGTGTTGCTTTCATATCTTTTGGTATATATATTGCTTCATTGCATCCTCTCCTTAAAAATTACACTTTTGCA